GCCAAGAAATAATATTCTGATTTTTAATGACTATTCCTCTTCATTTGCACTTCCTTTCTTTTCCCAACACCATTCCTGATCCCCCACGTGCATGTTTTCTGGTGTTCTGTGGATAGCAAGACATGCTGTTCCAGGCACTTCTTCCTTCCCGTCTTCTAAGTTGGAAGGTCCATCTGTTATAAAAGCCTGATTAGTGGTAGTGTTGCAGTAGAGAACACAAGAGAGCCAATTACATAAGCAGGAAGTGACATCTGTAGGGGCGCTCTGCGTATAGACAGTGCACTGATTGCCCAGTGTTCATTTGATTATGCGGTCAGGTCGGTGTGCGTTGTTTTTTAAAAATAATTTTTTATTTTCTTTACAATATTTAATTTTTACAATTTTTTCCTCTTAAAAAAAATTACATAATTTGTCAACATTTTTTTTTTAAATTTCACTTTTTTTCTATTTTGCTCGCTACCTTGGAGGCATTCGGCTATCCACTTACTGCCTTTGGGACCCTAATAGAATAGGGCAAACAGCAGCGAGTGAGCTGCCAAAGCTTCGGCTCAGCTGCTCCAAGATGTTGGATTGGCAGAGTCGAACTCCTTCTGCACTTCGGCTGACCGAAGGCATCCAATGTACGGCTGATTTTAGCTGATGCATGGCTGAAGTGAATAGCCGAACAGCGTTCGGCTCACTTCACTTCAGCTCAGTTATTCACTCGGTTGCCTTCAGCAGCTAAGTGAATAACCCCCTTAGCTTTTCATGATTCTGTACTGCTCATTGCTTGAACCAGTGAACTCTGTTCAGGATTTTCACAGTCTCAGATACACGGTGATTCAGAAAATGTTTTAATAGCATCTATCAGAATTTAATTTGTGAGCTAGCGGCCCTCTGAAAGCGAGAGACACTCATTGGTCTTATGTCCCTAAGTTAGTTGAAATGCAACTTTTCATGTTCGAGTCGACTGTATCTTTACATTTTCTGACAAATACATAAAAGGTTCAGGAACTTGTCAAATCTCTCTGTATAAAGAAATTTGGAATCTGTTTTAGTGGCCTTGAAGACTATGATAAATGACCCTATTAAAAATGGAAATAATAAAGAAAAGCAAGAATAAGTTCAAAAGGATCCTTATCTGCTCTGTTTACATAACCTTCTGCATTGAAACCTGAACACAGTTAATATTTCCAGGCACATTATATACAATATAGATGTAAATATTTTCATTATATTCAGCGTTCTGTTTTTAAACTCTGCATCTTGTGCCAATATCAGCTGAATCGCTGCCAGAATGTGTAGATGTGCAGATGATTTAGGAGGAGATAGGGATTCTGAAGCCACAAACTATATATCAAGAAGAGATTAAACAAGACTACAGAGCCTATTCCATTACCAGCACAACAATTTGCCGCAGAGATGCCTACTATAATTACACAGAGAGTCATCTGCCTGAGACGCTGGTCCCTGAAGATGCTCACCCTTGAATGTACCGCTCTCACCTTGTCTGCTCATAGTCTCATAGTCATGATCAGCAATTTGTGTCTTGTCAGGAATAGCAGGCTTGGTGGAAGAAACAATCTCCTGGCAGTAAATGTTTATTCACAGGAAACATACACTACTAGAGGCTACCAGGCATGGCAATAGTATTTTTGTTGTTTCCTATGGTCATACGAATAGTATCCCAAAGAAGTATAACAGCAGTTTAGTACCTTCTGCTGTATGTTATTAGTGTATTCAATAGACATCAACTTTAAAAAATAATTAAGGTTGACAAAATGCCTAAAGATTAACTATGGGCAAAAACAAAATGTACATTTATGATGAAGTCTGTCCTTAGCATTAACACAGCTTTTTATTCTCTTGGTTCCCCTGTAATATTATTTTATTAACTGTGGATCTATCAAGTAGCTTTCCACTCCCTGTGAAAGGGAGACAACACTGTTGACTCTAATGTGAAATTGAACTACAGTGTTGTCACCCTGCCATGGGCAGGGTAGTCTTAAATCAGGGGTGGGAAACTCTAGCCCTCAAGCTGTTGTGGAACTACAAGTGCCATGAGGCAATAACAGGCATTACTCTCAGAGACAGAGACATGTTGGGATTTGTAGTAAAAGAACAGCTGGAGGCTCAGAGTTGCCCAACTCTGGTTTAGATAGACATCAGTTTTTTTTAAATAGACTTAAGGTTAAAGACAAACAAATTAAAACCTAACTCCAACTAGCACCTTTTAAGCAGTTACAGCAAAAGATGTATTTTTTTCCTTAAGTCATATGAATATACCGAGATCGTAAGCACCTCTACCAGTGTAATATGGTTTGTCTCAACCCCTGCAACTGCCGGTTTTCTCACAGCTTAGTATGTTAAAGGATAAGGAAACGATTGTAAGGTGATAAAAACTATTCCAGTCAGGACACTAGCTGGAAGAAGTTTGCATATTCTCCCCGTGCTTGCGTGGGTTTCCTCCGGTTTCCTCGCACACTCCAAAGACATGCTGGAAGGTTAATTGGCTCCGGTCTAAATTTACCCTCATACGTATGTATGCGAGATAGGAACCTTAGATTGTAAGAACCTTGAGGGCAGGGACTGATGTGTATGTGGAACTATGTGATCTATTCACAAAACTGCCGTAGGCAGCCGAGTGAATAACCGACCCGAAGTGAAGTGAGCCAAACGCTGTTCGGCTATTCACTTCAGGCTGGTACGGTTGATTTCACCCGTATATCGGCTGACATCAGCCATACATCGGGTGGCTTCGGGTCGGCCGAACATGCTCAGCATGTTCGGCCGACCCGAAGTGCAGAATAAGTTCGACTAAGCCGATCCAATCTGGATCGGTCTGAGCCGAACCTCCGGCAGGCTACTTGCTGCTGTTCGGCTTATTCTCATAGATGCCGAACAGCAGTGAGCTGCTCCCGAACAGCCGGGAGCCGCTATCTAATAGCGGGAGACTCCCATAGCGTCCGGGAGAGTAATGACAGATCATCGTCCCTGGTTACTGTCATTAGCCGGTGAACTCCAAAGGGCTCGCAATAGAATTTAGAAGAAGATGTCATGAGAGCACCACACCAATGGTTACAGAATCCAAGAAGATCTTGATTTGTTTTGTATTGGACTAACACAGAATACAACAGATAACATGTTCCAGGGGTCTAGGCACTTCCTTTAGCCAGGGTTTGAAGCTGAACGCCAGGCAGAGATAAGAGACACAAATTAATGTAGCTCTGTAATTAATGATGCCCATTAAATTCATTTTTTTTAAATGGAAGCAGCGTAAGTACCTGAATTTGACCTGGTGTCAACCTATTTCTGTCCCTGTACAGCAGAGCTGGAGTGTGAGAGAAAGAAGCAGTACATGTAGCCTGTCAGTTCCGATGCTGACAAGAAGCATAGTAATAGGAGAAGAAAGCAAAGTGACAGAGTTGAGCTTATCATTATTCTACTTCTCCTTTCACTGTCCAGTAACAGGCTGCGGTGGATCCAGGACAGCACGAGGAAGTGGGTTGATGATACTGGCCATCAGACTGAGGACATCTAGTGGCAGAAATAAATACTGCAGGGGAAATCTCTAGAATACAGTAAATCTCAATATTGCAGAAAAAGTTAGTGCTGTTATATTATCTTCTATCGGCCTGTTACATTTTATCTTGTTTTTGGCTGGAGTTCTGCTTTAAGAGCAACATGAGCTAGCATAGAGGGACTCTAAAAAAAAATGGACAAAAAAGGATTGCGGCATCACTAAAAATGCATCCATGTTATGGGTTTTGAGAGGTGATAATACTATGCGAGTGTAAAGCCTCGCTTCTCTGATCTATGGGAATGGATCACAACTGCGAAGTTTCATGGATGGGGATCAGTTGTGCAGCTGAACTCTGTTGCCCTGTATTTGGTTAGGCGGATCGAGGGCTGCTTAACATCATACTCCCCTTGGCAACAATGGAAGTGCCACTCCTCTGGTAATTAGAGAGCAGGGTATGAAGTTCAGCACAACAACAATAGCACACAGTGTTAATGGCTGTGAGCAACAGCAAGGAGTTTAGCTAGCAGGTGTATGAAGTTCAGGACAACAGCAATATCACACAGGGTTAATGGCTGTGAGCAATAGCAAGGAGTTTAGCTAGCAGGTAATGAAGTTCAGCACAACAGCAATAGCACACAGGGTTAATGGCTGTGAGCAACAGCAAGGAGTTTAGCTAGCAGGTGTATGAAGTTCAGCACAACAGCACTATAGTAGTGTCCTGGTAGCCAGGAGACATAAGCCTCTACTTGCGGTTTGTTTGGTGGTCAATGGTAGAGCCCTGAGACTCTTGGATCCGACGACCTGCTTGTGGCTGATGATCCTGAAGGGCAGCAAGGCAGACACTGATTGATCAGTGTCCTGCTACAATCAACAGTAGGACACCGATCAATCAGTGAGCAGCAGCTTTAAGCAGACTGCTCGAATGAGGTGGGCGGAGTCCCAGGGAGTGCCTGCGCACTACTGAGTCCCTGCTGTTGTGTGTCTGTATTTATCTTACAAGTGTCCATAAAAGGTTCAATAAATGTTTAAAAAACAGAAAATAAGAAGCAATGGGGGGAATTACAACAGTTTTAGCCTCTTACATCATTTTTTCTTTTATCATGTGCTCCTGTTTTTGACCTGAGCTTGCACTACTTTTTCAATTGCACGTGTTTTGCACATGTTTTCATCTGCACTTGTCCTGCGGCTGTCTGAAATTGGAGCATCACCTAACAAAACAATCACAACTTAAGAAGTCCCCATGACCACTTCTTCAAGAAGCGACAGTTAAGCTTTTTCCCTGGAGTTACGAATCTTTTTTCCTGGAGTCTATTAAACCTCTTTTATGAACAACATTACACTAGCAACATAAATCTGGAGCCAAGTGCATCAAATATATTCCGTGCAAGTTCGAACACTCGCAATTTCTATGATAAATACCCCCCATTGGATTGAAGCATAATGGTAATGACAAAGTAACTTTTACTTACTGTTACTAAATAATTATTTTTTCTTTTAGGTACACCAAGCTAAAACTTCAAGTCAATCAAGAGGGACGGATTCCTATTAAAAAGTAAGTTCATATAGAAATTACATTATCATGTTTATTTATATATTTATCGCGATAACTCCCCGCAAGGAGTCGCTGTTTGCCCGGTCCTCATCTAGTCCGTCTAGGGGTTGATTTCCAGCTGCACCCATTAGCACTAACCGCCCATAAATTAATGTCCACTTCAATATTATGATGCTAGTTGAACATTTTATTGAACATATTCTGTGGGAGAGAGAGTATAGTTTCTTGGTGTCCAGGACTCCTTAGCTCCAGACTCACCGGATCTAATATTAAGGGAGTACATCTCCACAATCCATGAAAGAACACCCCGCTCTGAAGTCCTCATAAATCCAAGGCACCTCAAGAGCCTGCACTGGTCCTGGTTCTTCCATCTCTCAGGCATTCTCCAGGTTGGCAACCTCAAAGGGAACCTCTCTTCCATCAACTCAATCCATGCCCACCCCCAGGCCTCGGCCTAACCTGGGGGTGCAGGCTGAACAGGACCCAACCTTAATCCATGGCTGGTCCAGGCAAGCGAGAGGGCACATGGCAGCTCCCACCCATATATGTACACTATCCCAGCAGGCACCACTGGCTGAAACAAACCCAGTGGTTGGCTGCTGTACTGTACACATATTACAGTGTCTCCTATTGGCTGTCCCCCAATATGACAGAGTCTCACTCCGCCCAGGGGGGTACAGGCAAGGTTAGACACCTGAGATTAACCATGTAATCACCACTAAAAATCCAGCCAGGCTGTCTACAAAGTTTCATGGATGGGGATCAGTTGTGCAGCTGAACTCTGTTGCCCTGTATTTGGTTAGGCGGATCGAGGGCTGCTTAACATCATACTCCCCTTGGCAACAATGGAAGTGCCACTCCTCTGGTAATTAGAGAGCAGGGTATGAAGTTCAGCACAACAACAATAGCACACAGTGTTAATGGCTGTGAGCAACAGCAAGGAGTTTAGCTAGCAGGTGTATGAAGTTCAGGACAACAGCAATATCACACAGGGTTAATGGCTGTGAGCAATAGCAAGGAGTTTAGCTAGCAGGTAATGAAGTTCAGCACAACAGCAATAGCACACAGGGTTAATGGCTGTGAGCAACAGCAAGGAGTTTAGCTAGCAGGTGTATGAAGTTCAGCACAACAGCACTATAGTAGTGTCCTGGTAGCCAGGAGACATAAGCCTCTACTTGCGGTTTGTTTGGTGGTCAATGGTAGAGCCCTGAGACTCTTGGATCCGACGACCTGCTTGTGGCTGATGATCCTGAAGGGCAGCAAGGCAGACACTGATTGATCAGTGTCCTGCTACAATCAACAGTAGGACACCGATCAATCAGTGAGCAGCAGCTTTAAGCAGACTGCTCGAATGAGGTGGGCGGAGTCCCAGGGAGTGCCTGCGCACTACTGAGTCCCTGCTGTTGTGTGTCTGTATTTATCTTACAAGTGTCCATAAAAGGTTCAATAAATGTTTAAAAAACAGAAAATAAGAAGCAATGGGGGGAATTACAACAGTTTTAGCCTCTTACATCATTTTTTCTTTTATCATGTGCTCCTGTTTTTGACCTGAGCTTGCACTACTTTTTCAATTGCACGTGTTTTGCACATGTTTTCATCTGCACTTGTCCTGCGGCTGTCTGAAATTGGAGCATCACCTAACAAAACAATCACAACTTAAGAAGTCCCCATGACCACTTCTTCAAGAAGCGACAGTTAAGCTTTTTCCCTGGAGTTACGAATCTTTTTTCCTGGAGTCTATTAAACCTCTTTTATGAACAACATTACACTAGCAACATAAATCTGGAGCCAAGTGCATCAAATATATTCCGTGCAAGTTCGAACACTCGCAATTTCTATGATAAATACCCCCCATTGGATTGAAGCATAATGGTAATGACAAAGTAACTTTTACTTACTGTTACTAAATAATTATTTTTTCTTTTAGGTACACCAAGCTAAAACTTCAAGTCAATCAAGAGGGACGGATTCCTATTAAAAAGTAAGTTCATATAGAAATTACATTATCATGTTTATTTATATATTTATCGCGATAACTCCCCGCAAGGAGTCGCTGTTTGCCCGGTCCTCATCTAGTCCGTCTAGGGGTTGATTTCCAGCTGCACCCATTAGCACTAACCGCCCATAAATTAATGTCCACTTCAATATTATGATGCTAGTTGAACATTTTATTGAACATATTCTGTGGGAGAGAGAGTATAGTTTCTTGGTGTCCAGGACTCCTTAGCTCCAGACTCACCGGATCTAATATTAAGGGAGTACATCTCCACAATCCATGAAAGAACACCCCGCTCTGAAGTCCTCATAAATCCAAGGCACCTCAAGAGCCTGCACTGGTCCTGGTTCTTCCATCTCTCAGGCATTCTCCAGGTTGGCAACCTCAAAGGGAACCTCTCTTCCATCAACTCAATCCATGCCCACCCCCAGGCCTCGGCCTAACCTGGGGGTGCAGGCTGAACAGGACCCAACCTTAATCCATGGCTGGTCCAGGCAAGCGAGAGGGCACATGGCAGCTCCCACCCATATATGTACACTATCCCAGCAGGCACCACTGGCTGAAACAAACCCAGTGGTTGGCTGCTGTACTGTACACATATTACAGTGTCTCCTATTGGCTGTCCCCCAATATGACAGAGTCTCACTCCGCCCAGGGGGGTACAGGCAAGGTTAGACACCTGAGATTAACCATGTAATCACCACTAAAAATCCAGCCAGGCTGTCTACAGCCCTAGCTATCACTGCATGGTAGTCACATCACAAAAGGTGATGGGCGCTACATATTGTTGATTTGTAGGACATGGTAGCACTTGTTTGCTGTCCTTTCTGGGACACTCTGACTATCCATAGCAGTAGCTGACTTAGCAGAATCTGCAGCGGCAACTGGGCCATCAATTTTTATAGGGCTCATGCTATAATCCACTTTTCATCACTGACAGGAATATGCCATGATGATGTCATCACACTACGCATGTCTTTGACAGGGATTGACGATATCATTACATCATGCTTGTCATTGACGGATTTGTCACAATGATGTTATTACATCATGTTTGTCATTTTGCATCTTGGATCAATAGGCATCTGAATGAAAGTGTTTTTAGACCTTAGGCCCAACCTTACGGGCCTAAGTACAAATTTCTACTTACCCCACTATTTAAAGACTATTTACATATTTTTAAAAGTTTTATTTATGTTTCATGTTATGC